AAAAAAAAAAAAAATCATTAGCAAAGTGATTAAGAGCAACAAAGGGGAAAAAATAATTTAGATAAGTAAATATTAACCTTAAAATACAAAGACGAAATCAAGAAACGGTTATAACAAAACACGTACAAGTCGTTGAGAGCGGTTAAATTGGAAAACGATTGGGGTATCGGACCTTGGAATGAATTGCCCTGAAGCCTCCTACACATAAGAGCATAATGAAATTAGTACAAAAATAAAAATTGAGAACAGAATTAAGAAAAAAAAAATTTGAAAAATGACTATAAAAAATAAGAGAAACAGAATGGGAAAAAATTAGTTACAGTTTCCTCACTACAGGAGTTTTCATAAATAGTCATAGTGGAATGTAATTGATTAATAATAATCTTGTATCTTTTAAAATTAATCAAAATCATGATAATATTTGTCGAATTCTACATGCCCAGCCAAAAACGACACACCACATTCACGTTTTCATAGAATGTTTCAAAAGTATTATCATAATAACGTTCCAAGTATTTAAAAAATTAGTACTATTGAAATACTATAATTTAACAAACAGTAATCACATAAGCTTTAAAAATTAATCAATTTTTTAGGACAATGGAATTTCATGGTATCATTTGACATGAGACATGTTCGATAAAAGATGGAGAAATAAGAATTAAAAAAAAAAAATCACAGTGATCATAATGTAAAGTCGGCCATCCAAAGTTTTAAACCTGCAAAATAATAGCTTTAGACTCCACAGTTCACACAACCAAAACCAATCTACACGTGCTTGGCGTTCGGTAAAACATCACAGAACAAATTCAAGAAAAAAGGAAAAGGTTCAATCTTTGTTTACCTGCCACTAAGAAGAATTCATTAACAAAAGAAACTGACTTTCGACCAGAACTCGAGAAGGCCGGCAGCCCAGCAGATAGAACCTGCAAGAAATTTTCAATTATAATATATCATCACAATGTAGTACATCTAGTGCAACAATATTGATCATATTTAAACCACCGAGTGAAATGTCGACATACCACAATGCAAAATTCAAGCTTCTAGTCCATCAATAGCCTTCCCAATCATCATTGTCGTCATCACTATCAGAAGTGTTGCTTTTTTCAGAATCTTCTACACTACTACAATAGTCGACCAAGGTGTCATCAGGCTCATCTTCTTCAATGACATCTTCTATGTTTACGAGCTCTACAACTTCTGGTAGTGTTTTTATCGTTAATTCCTCAATATCTTGAGAATCCATGTCAGTCCTACCTAGTGATTCTAACTCATCAGATCTAACTTCAAGTGCATCATTTGCTTCATTCTCTTGGTATGCCCCATCTTCCACAGAAAACAAATCATTAGGGCCTATTTCATCATCTGGCATCTCATCAACATCATAAACATGCCTATGCTGGAATGGTTGCACTACTCGCCAGTCACTTCCTAATTTAGGATCACTAATGTAGAAAACTTGTCTAGCTTGATTAGCTAATATGTAAGGGTCGTTCTCATACCATCTTTTGGTAATCCGAACACTCACAATATTGCCCTCTTTTTGTAATCCTTTTTGTTTTTTACCCCCAAGATCAAACCATTCACATTTGAATATGGTAATATGCCTATCTTTCACATAGTCAAGCTGAATTATATCAGATACAACACCATAAAATTCAATTGTATCTTCACCGTGGTTACCCTCCACAGAGATACCGCTATTTTGGGTATTACGACGACTATCACGGTCTTTCGTTAGAAATCTTACTCCATTGACAATACATCCAGCGTACTTCCTAACACATTTGCTTGGGGCACATGCAAGTGAATACAAAGCTTCATTGGCTTCGTCTGGATTCTCATGATACGAATGGGTCATCTGAATAAGATAAAATATCAACTATAAATAACAATTTAATTAAAATGAAAAGAATGAGTAAAGATAAAAAATGAAGTATTTTGTATTTGCAAGGCCTTTACATGTTTTCTGAACCACGAAGGAAATTTTTCTCTATGCTCTTGGTTTATGTTTTTACAACCAGCTAATAATAGCTCCTGTTTGTGCTTCCTGCATTGAATATAGTTATTTAACAAAAAAAAATGTAATAATATTGTATGTATATTTAAAATATAATTTTATGCTTACTCAATATAAGGTTGAACCTCTTCACAATTCTGAAACACAAACCATTGTACCATGTCAAACTCTTCTTTTGATAACTCAACAAGTGTTGTTGCTCCAAAGGGGCGACATTTTGCAGAAAAGATTGATAGACTATCATCAACTGTTATATCACAATTTCTGTCATCTCTGTTAAATCTAGTCTCAATTCCCCGCAAGTACATGGAGCAAAAAGTTAATGACTCTTTTGCAATGTATGTTTCTGCAATGGATCCTTCTGGATGAGCTTTATTAGTTACACCTTGCTTCAAGTCGCCCAAAAATCTAAAAAAAAAAAACAATATTATTAAAAACATTCACAAGAAGAATTATAAATAAGAAGCTCATAGTTTAATATGAATTACCGTTCAATTGGAAACATCCATCTAAATTGAACTGGGCCACCTATCAATGCCTCATTCGGCAAATGGATTGACAAGTGAACCATGACATCAAAGAATGCAGGAGGGTATATCTTCTCTAGTTTGCACAATATCAAACAAATATCATCTCTCATTTTTTCCAATTCTATTTTTTTCAACTTCCTACAGCATATGCGTTGAAAGAAACTGCCTAATTCAGCCAATACCTCGCATACTTCTTTATTTAAGGACCCACGAATCCCAACAGGAAGTATTCGTTGTAAAAGAATATGACAATCATGACTCTTTAATCCGGATATCTTTTGATCACTTGAACTTACACAACGAGAGATGTTGGATGCATAGCCATCAGGAAACTTGACGGACTTTAGGAATTCACAAAAGTCACGTCTTTCTTTCTTTTTCATTACATAACAAGCTGCAGGCATCACATGTTTCCCATCACCTGAATTGATCAAGTGCAACTCTTTGCGAATTTTCATGTCCTCCAAATCTCGCCTGGCATTAAGTGTATCTTTTGTTTTCCCTTCTGCACTCATCAAGATTCCTAAGATGCTCTCACATATATTTTTTTCAATATGCATTACATCTAAATTGTGCCTTAATTACAACTTACTCCAATAAGGCAAATCAAAGAAAATGCTGCGTTTAGTCCAATTTAACTCCTCGGGGTGTCGCTTCTTTTTTTTGTTGGCATGCTTCCCTGGAATAACATTTGGTAATCCTCGTAGCTGCATTAACACATCCTCCCCACTTAAATATTGAGGTGCCTCATTGTCTTCTCTTTTTCCATCAAACTTCTTACTTCTCCTCCAAGGATGACCTCTCGGTAAGTAGCGTCGATGCCCCATGTAACATATCTTATTGCGCAATCTCAAAGAATGTGTCTTCTCATTGCACGTGGGACAGGCCATGTAACCTTTTGTGCTCCACCCAGACAGATCCCCATATGCTGGAAAGTCATTTATTGTCCACAAAACAGCAGCATGTAAATTGAAAGTTTCTTTACGACGAACATCAAAGGTTTGTGCACCATCAACCCACAATGTTTTCAGCTCTTGAATCAGTGGTTGTAGGTAGACATCAATGTCTTTTCCAGGTGACTTCTTCCCAGGAATAAGCAAAGACAACATAAAGAACGGTTGTTTCATGCAATCCCATGGGGGGAGATTTAATGGAGCAAGAACTACCGGCCACATGCTATAAGTGGTACTTAAGTTTCCAAATGGATTAAATCCATCTGCAGCCAAAGCAAGTCGAACATTTCTAGGATCTTTTGCAAACCAAGAAAACTCACTATCAAAATCTTTCCATGCAAGGGAGTCTGCAGGATGCCTCATACAGTCATCATCAATGCGTTTCTCTTTATGCCACACCATTTTCTTTGATACTTTCTCAGACATGAAAAGGCGCTGGAGTCTAGGTTTCAGAGGAAAGTACCTTAAAATCTTTTCTGGTATCTTCTTCCCTGCGCCGTCGTTAACTTTCCACCGAGAGGATCCACAGATAGGACAACTCTCCAGGTTCCTATTCTCGTTCCAGAATAACGCACAATCATTTTTACAAGCATGAATGCACTCATATCCTAATCCAAGATCTCGCAAAAACTTTTTAGCCTCATAATAAGAACTTGGAAGTGACTCTCCGTCCGGCAATGCTAATTTTATCAAACTCAATAACATATCAATGGCTTTATTACTCAGTTTATTATAAACTTTCAAGTGGAGCAATTGGATGATAAAAGATGTCTTTGAGATTTTCTTACATCCTGGGTATAATTCTGCTTTGGCATCTTTCATCAATGCCTCAAGATATGTTGGTACTCCGCCTGTGTTTATATTATTGCCATCATGTGTATCAGGTTGATAGTACTGCTCCCCAAGGTCAGATAACATGTCGGTAACACCATCGTTTTCATATTCATCGTGATTTTGGTGCACTGACCCAGAATGATGTTTATCTTCCACATAAGCATGTTGACTCGCTCGGTTACTTGAGATTGGTTCACCGTGATAAAACCACGTGACATACCCTGGATCTATCCCATGCATCAAAATGTGACTTTTAACCGTCTTTTGATCTTTAAACGATAAGTTCAAACAGCCTGTACACGGACATCGAATCTCGCATTCCTTTCCCAAATGAGCTTCTACAAATCTCATAAAAATGCTTACCCCATCTATGTAAGCTTTTGAAAACTTTTTAGCCCGCATCCAACTCTTATCCATTCTCTGTTTCTACATATAATCAACAAAAAACGCATTAGTATGTACATATATAGAGGAGTAGAGGTTGGAGCTACAAGGGAAAAAGGGAGCACTTAACAAGTGATACTGTTTGGGAAAAATAGGGAGTATTTTTAAAGTCACTTAAAAAAGTGATTGTTAGCTTAGCTTCCAATTGAGTGTAAATTATAATTTGATCAGAATCTAGCTTCCAGGTGAGTGTATATATAATTTAATCAGAATCTCTTAAATTAGCAGGAAGGTGCTTTAGTTTTGTTATTTTGCTTTTGGTTTCACTTACAATCTAATAAACCCTTTAGCAGCTTATTCATCCTGATGAAGTCAACTTCAAGTTTCTATCTGCACATGTTACCAATTTCTTATTCTTAACAGCATGTAACTATGATAAATAACTTCCTTGAAAAGAACTACTAGCTTTTGTGAACACTCCCAATGGTTAAACTGGATAATGTGTTGAACAGTTGAAGTCTAAGTATAATCAGCTCATAAGACAATTATTTTTTTCTAAGTTTAAGCAATTCATATGAACAAGGTTAACTTTTATGACAAGCCTAGCAGGAAACTAAGTTCAAAGAATGCATGAACTTTGTACTAAAACCAAATTCCCAATAGAAAGTCTCATAGTCACTACAGTGAATAGAAAATCACGATTGAAAATAAATTGCATATTTTTCAAGAAAAATATCAAGGCAGCACCGAACAAAGTGAAATAAAACAACGGGAGTAAATGAGAACAATGAACTGCAGGAGCAATAATTGTGTGATTTTCACCCAATATATATTGAGAATAGCTAAATATGATATCAAATCGAAAAATAAAAAAAGAGAAAATACTTGAGAAAATATCTCAAGTCATAAAAACCACCTCAAAACACACACAACAGCAGCCATAGCGGCCATAACAACACATTGGCACATCAGAGAAAACAAATACCTGAAAATCTGAAGCTAAACTTTATATATCACCAAGTCACCACAAGCAATTACTTGAATCTAGTAAGCAATCACCACTGAACCTGCTTATAGGATAAACAAATAGCAAGGTTATGAATACCAAAATAATAAGGATAAAATATACAAAAAAATGTTGATATTCTTCCTCGCCAAGAACAACACCATAAAAGAACAGACCAAAAAANNNT